GTGCCGCTGGGGGGGAGGGGCAGTTCGAAGGTGGTCAAGAATGAAGGACATGTTCTGGGACAATCAACTAGATTAGCACCGGCCATAGAGAATGCCAAATCGGCCAACTTTCGAGCGATGCACACACCTTCTGAGCCTGGCTCAACTTCCCGTCCCGCATAAGCAATTTCGTAAACTGCTCCAGCAACGAATCATATCTCTCGCGGAAATTCTCTGTCTTGGGGAGACTCTCGGGCGCCGGGAATTTCAATCCCGGTTGCAGCTCCGCGACTTCCTCGTTAACTTGGTTGATCATATTGGCGACAACGGCGGCCGAGGGATCGGTCAGATCCTGGCCCTGTAGGTCCGGCTGGTAGCGGCGTGCGAAGGTCGAGAAGGAACGGGTGCCAGACGATCGCTTCAGCTGGTCTTGCATGACCTTGGGCATGTGCTTCTGGGCTTCTTTATCGCGCTGCAGGATCTATACCGACGGCGTCAGATGAGCATTCCGCAACAGACAGCATTTAAAATTCCAGAGAAAGAAGAAACACTACCTCAGCGACGGGAGTCCCCTGCTCCAACTCCGGGCTCGCAGCAGCCTCATACTTCCCACCGTGCAGGATCCTGTCCATTTGCGCCGCCTCCTCGCTGACGTGGGGCAACGCATCCTCCGTGGGCCCCTTTGGCCTATTCAAATCGTCCTTCTCATCTGATTTAGTCGAGTTCCATCGTCTCTGTGGCTGGACCGGGTTGAAGCCTTGAACGGTCGATGCGGCATGAGGCCGGGTGATACTGAAACGCGAGCTGATGGCGGATGATGTGGGGCGGAAGGCAGGCAGGGCCTTGCCTGTTGTAAAAAGATTGATACGAGGCGGCATCTTGATTCTCCTCGATGCCAGAATTGACGGACAGTATCTCGAAGGAGAGTGTTCAATTGCCCTCCCGTCACTTGCTTCGTTGGAGTTGCGAAGAACGATTTTCCTCTCCACTATCGCTTAGTCATCCACGCCAAGACTTCCCTGATTTCCCGCATGAAGTCATTCATTCAGATGAATGGGCTCAGGTTCTACAAGAGTAGCGAGGTACGGATATTTGCAGCCAGTTGTAATTAGAACATGGGCTTAGAATGTAGCGCATCACATAAAAACCATGGCACCCAGTCCAGACCCAGCCATGGTGCTATCCCAAATATACCACGTACAGTAAGAAAGAAAATACAAAATACAGGGGCCGAGTAATCAGAGCCACATATTGTGCGTCTGTACAGCAAATACAGAACCCCCGAAGTCACGAGAGACTGACCAGCAGTATTTACCCAGTAAGTGCGATAGGAGAAAGAGTAGTTTTAGAAAAAGGCCACAGGGAGCGAGGGTCAAGTAGAAATCAGGGTTCAAAAGAATCAAGTCCACGTCAGCACCGCAGACACTTTATACATGAAAGCTGCTGTATTGCAGAGCGACTGGTCGTTCAATTGGCGACAAAAGCATCGCCAGTGGCATCGTCTGGGTAGACGTAGAACGCTAGCGCTAGGATCAGATACCTATGGCGCGGAGAGTTAGAACCTGGCCCCGAGATCGAGACGGGAGCCGACAAACTTACATTCCCAAGCAAAGCCCACCCTCGAGATAGTTCGACTTGCCGTCCTGAATAAGGAATGTCACGACCAAGCCAGAGATGAAAAAGGCGACAGTTTCGAAGATGTGGAAGTTGAGAGTCATCTCAATATTCATGATCCAGCCCATAATGACCAGGAACGGTGTAACGAACAATGCGATCTGCAAGCTGCTGCCGACGGCCACGCCGATAGCCAGATCCATCTTCCCCTTCCAGGCGACGACGACGGCGGTCACGTGCTCCGCAGCATTTCCAACAATGGGAATCAACACCAGACCGATGAAGGTCCGGCTCATGCCAGTCTTCTCCACAATGCTGTCGATGCTCCCAACCAGGTAGTCGGCACAGATGGCGACAAGAACCGTGACGATGACCAGAGCAACGGTGGCGGCCAACGGGCTCAGAATATGCTCCTCTTCCTCCTCATGGTTCGCCTGATTCTCAGCATCGTGTCCCAGCTCTTCCTGAACCTCCTCAAACAACTGCGCGTGCGACTTGAGCTGAAAGTACAGGTACATGACGTATAGAACCAGAAGAATGATGGCGGTACCGTGCGAGAGGATCAGGATGTTATTATTCGTCGTATCTTTGGAGTGGGACGGTGACAGAGAGGCGTAGAGAGTGGCGGGGATGATCAACGAAGCAGACGCAACCGTCATCAGGGACGACATGGTGGACGCGACAGTGGTGTTGAATGACTGCTCGGAATAACGGAGCCCGCCAATGAGGAAACAACATCCGAGCACAAGCAGGATGTTCGACAGGATACTACCCAGCATACTTGCCTGGACGACACGAATCTGGTTGTCCTTCAAAGCGATGATGCTGACCTACCATTGTCCTCAAAAATCAGCTATAGTCAAGCACAAAAGGAAGCGAACGGATCAACCCACAATCAGTTCCACGGCATTCCCAAAAGTAGCATTCATCAACCCACCCAACGCCTGCCCCATAGTAGCGGCCAGTTCCTCAGTGGCAAAGCTCAGCAGAGACGCCAATGGGATGATCGCGAGGAAGTTCAACGAGAAGACAACCGTGCTATCCCAGTGAAGCGCACCGGAGACGATACCTAGAGGAACAAACACGAGCAGGACGTTGACGTAGTCCCGCACGAGGGTCTCCCAGGTCAAGTGCATAACCTGCGCGGGGACGTTCAGCCAGCGTCGTCCACGCTTATGGCGCCGATGCTGGCTAAGACCCGAGTTGATGCGGGCAGTATCATTGATCAGAGCCTCTCGCTCACTGGGCTCTCCAGTCCCATTCCGAGAAGAGAAGCCGGTCATACTGCGTTTCGGGCCCCACGAGTACCTTCGGAAGACTGAACGGAAGTTTCTCGATGCTGTTCAGATTCGACCGATCCGATTAGCCAAATTTCGCGCGAGTTTCGTCTACTTTCTCCGCAAGGCAGAGTAGTAAACAAGTATCCTGCCTGATACAAAGACCAGAATGACAGAGGAAAGCGACAGCAAAGAATGATTGCTTAAGGAGGATCGAAAGAAAGACTGCTTGACAGGCAAGAGACGACAAGGAGAGACTTGGATAAGGAGAAGATCATGAAATAGACGGAAGATACCTCAGTATGATGAAAGAGGAAAAAGGAAGGAATGAATAATGGAAGATCACAAGTGGGGAGTTATAAAAGAAAGGAAAAAAAGGTAATACTACTGTGTAGTAGTAGTACTAGTAGTAGGTAGTGATGGTGGTGATGAAGGTGTGGCACCTACACATTGGGACAAGACAGTGGCGCGGGAACGACCAGGGAACCGCGATAGGACCGGAGGGGAAAGTGGGTTAACCCTCAAATATGTAGGAGAGCAGATCAGTCGAGGACTTGGATCTGATTGATAGTCCGTTCTTGTCTGGAATCTGGGACCCGGACAAGAAAAGAAAAATCTGGGACCAGGGTGAAATTACACAAGTCAGTCTTAGCTCTTCAAACTCAAACAACCGCAGTTTTGCTGTCGCAGAGGGGAATGTCCAGTTCTCATTGAAGAATGAGAGGGATTAAGGCCCACGCGAACCAATCAAGATGATCATCGGCTAAATTTCAACTCGAGAGAAGAGATCAAAGGAAGAATCCCAAGAAACTAAGTAGATAGACTACGGGGAATTGCAAGCACCCAGCCACGCACGTACCTTGACCTAGCCTACGGATTCGCGGAGGGATGCGGATATCCGGAGATGCAGGCGGGAGTCCTTTTCAAAGACCGGAGGATTGGAGGATTGCTCTGTGAGTGCCGTTCTGGTCAGTCGAGCTTTCAATTCAAGAATCTGGAGGAGGGGATGAAGCAGAGTGTACATTGCACAGCCTCAGAGCTGATGCTTTGATGCTCAAGGTGCAGGAGCAGGAGCAGGAGTTCAAGGGGAGCTCAACCCTTGAGTAAGAGGCTAGATACCTGAAGCTAACAGTCTCGGCACAGTTCTCAAAGTCTTGATTGTTCCGATGATGCGCAGTATTGGAAATTGGGGTCTGGGCAGGAGTGCCGTTTAGGAGATGGAGATAAAATGGATGACGTTGATCATCGACTGACCCAGCAACACAGGTCTCAGTCGTAGAATTACAGGGGTACAAGAACAATATGAAAATGAGTATACTCACATTGGATGATCAATGAATATATCAGCGAGAGAGATACACAGAGGATGCAATGATGATGATGATGATGAAGTCGGCGCCAAAGTGATGCTTTACAGTGGGGCATCTGCAAAAAGCTCCAGCCACTAGCTTAACTCATGCAGTTGTATTATTGCATTTGTATATCTGGAAGATAGTACTACCTACAGATTCTACCTGCATGAGAGGATTATACAGAGGTCCCTCTACTCCGTAGACTATCTAATGTCCAGACTTCATCTCTCATTATTATTCCTCTCCTCCCAAGAATCCATGACAGTCAACCCACGGATCTTCCAGGGAACAGGACCCGCCAAGATGCACTGCCACAATCAGACCCACCAAGCAAGAACATCGATCATAGCGCCTGGACTATCTTAGTAGTTGTCCTGTGATGTGATGTGGAACAAACATGATAAATCTCCTCTCCTCAGCTCGGGAATGTCATGGGGCTTGACAAGTCACCTTTTCTTCAACAACTTACTCTAAGCTTATCATGCGCTGTGATCTGGAGACCGGCACGAGACATGCGGGGGTTGTTCCCTTGCCTCAGAGGCTCAGACTGATTCGGTTGACTCGACACCCCTGCCAGCCAGTTGGCGCTATCAGAATCAATAAACTATGACCTGCTCAGCCACGCCATCTAGGCTCTAGCAGTCTCCAAGAAGCTTTCGGATACAGAGGTTGACATCCGAATCGATGGCGCAAGCCACAATAGAAGCACATCTGGATTTCCACATCACCAAGGCTAGGTCTGACATGTTCAATTATCACAGCCTATGAAGATCCTCGAACATCCTAGTCTCATATAGTCTATAGATACATGTGCGCAGTAAGTGTTCACCATAAGATACAACGAATTCCCCCGTAAAGATTCTTGAGTCCACTCCCGGTAGGACTGAGCCGCCCGAAGTCGAGGACCATTCAGGATGGCACACCACCGAGTCCTAGTACGTGTCAGCAGACGCCTCGGTATACTTTCAGTCGATCAACTCACCTGCTGCAAAGGCAAGGTACCACGTCCGGGTCGCTCCTCCGTCAATCCAGCTGTAGTCGAAGTTGGGCTGAGTGAAAAAGTCCCACGAAGCGACCGGGTCCACCAGTGCGAGATTGGCGTACAGCACTCCTTTCCACCCACCTACCACGTTCTCGGCTGGCGATGGGCCGTTGCTTGCAAACAGGGCATCCCATTCCTCCTTCACAAACTCCCCGCTGCGAACAAACGCAGAAGAGGGGAGTAGGGGCAGCATATGGATCCTATGTTACAAATCAGCAATTCAGGTCTCGATCTTTCCATGGCAATGAAGGGCTCGGAAGTCCATACCCCTGAACATACTCCAGGTTGCTGCCAAAGTAAGTAGTATGGTCCACCTTGTTTTCGAACAACTGGAGGAAATTGTCAGTGGGAGGCTGCCCCGAAAAGGCACAAGGTAACAATGGTTGACTTACTATGCCCGTAACCTTGTTGCCAATGAAGTTTGCCGGCTGGTTCTTGTTGTTGCTATCCATTAAAAAGTAATTCCGGAGGCTTCGGCGCAGAATGCCCAGCATCAAGTTGCCTCGCGCCTCCATACTAGCATCCCCAATAGTCTTTCCCCACATCTTCAGAGCGTAAGCAAACATCGCATCTTCTGACGTCGACTCTTCGTCTTTCCCGTCAAAGGACTCGAAAAGACCCTTTGCCCAAGAATGGCCGTGGAACCAGTCGAACCCGCGCGAGAACGGAAAGAGCGGATCATTTCCGGCCGAGTTTCCAGCATCACGGACAAGCATATTGATCCAATCTTTGCTGGTTTGAAGCCACTGCGGATCCATCGATCCTATAATTGCAGCAGCATGGATGAAGTATCCGTAGTGGAAATGATGGTCGTTGTACAGCGTATTCCCAAAATCAGCGCCCAAGTCACCAGAGCCATAGCTGGCAGAGGATACCACTCCTTTCCAGACATTGTCGTACACAAGGGGAAATTGTTGCTGGTTGTCGATAAAACGAGCAAAGGACTTCTTCAACCGCTCAAGGCCCTCAGCTGCAAGAGTGCGGTTGCCCCCCAGTTGGTCGACTGTGTATACAAGGGTAGCGAACTTGCTCAGAGCCTTGCCGCTGAAATACATGCTATTGAGATTGGTCTGGGCATCCATATCTTGTTGAAGTTCTGTGGGAGCTACACTCAGGATGACTTGCTGGGCCGCAGGCGTTATGTTGTCAATGCTGCCCCCCGAAACCGACCATGGGGCAAAACCCATGGAAACGGGGAGGTCAGGCTCAACCATTGTCCAGTATTCCCCAATGACCGCTGTCGCCTGGCCTTTGGTGGTGGTTCTAAGCGTGATATTCGTTGCTCGGCTCTGTGTACTGGCGTCAAACGATTCCATGTGATGCGGGAGAGCAAACATCAGTAACGGGGTGTTTTGCGCATCCTTTCCTGCCTTGGCCCACAGCAGGTTGTATGTTCCAGCGGTCTCTGACACTGAGCCCATGACTGCTCCCTCGACAGCATAAACACCTGAAGAGTTATCGTAGAACTTCTCTCCAGATGCGCCGGCCGGGTTCTTGGCCACCTGGATCGTGCCGGACCAGCCGGCGGGCCCAATAATTTCGTTGTTTGACACCAAGCGTAGCTGTGGATCAGTCCCATCGTCAGGAGTTGCGTAGAGAAGCCATGATGTTCCATCCTCAAGGGATAGGCTATATTTGAATATACCGGCACGTGGCGATCCAGCAGTTACCATTTTGTTGAAGAAGACACCGCTCTGGACTTTAGGCTGTAAGTCGCTGTAGACGCCAGTCACAAATCCCATGCCCTGCACTACAGGAAAGGTGATGCTCTGGGATGATCCAGCGGAAGGTTGCAGCACCGCGTGGGCCGAGAAGGGAAGCGGATTCTCGGTGGTGAGTACAGTAGATGCCGCCAGCTCACTTGCTGACAGAATAACGGAATGGATGCCGATCGGATTGACATAATATGATATAGGGCTACCGGGAATGGCTGAATTGACCGGGCCCTGCGCGACTACGTTACTCTCGACGTGGGAGATAGCCATGCCATAGCTTTGCGACGTGCCGTTTCCCTTCACCCAAGCAAGGCTATAGGGGTGCGTAAAAGTGTTGTTGGTTTGTGTTCCTAGGAAGAGCCCACTATAAAACTTGTTCGTTTCAATAGGAGCGTCCGTGTCGGCCTGTGTGGATCAGACAATGCCTTTCAAATAATAGGTCTCGGGAGCTTACGATTCCAATCTTAGGTACGGGATGATCGTCCCTCGAGGGAATCGTGTCGGGAATTGGACCAGTCGACACCGGTACAAAGACATCTTGACCGCCTGCCATGGGGGTAGCGGTAGCTACTCATACCTTATCAGTCAACAAATTCGTGGTGTTGCGGATGAACAACTCACCTGATACTGGCTGACTGGATGGCTCACTGGACGACTGAGTCTGCTGGACTGGGTGGCTTGACGTTGCGGAACTTGTCGCCTGGCTTTCGGAAGAAGGTGAAGTTTCACTGGCTGAACTTGAGTCAGAAATTAAGTCGTCTGTGCATCTGTAATCTCAGACTAACCTGGTTCCGGGGAGCTAGACAAGTTACCGTCTTGAGATGGATAATTTGGCCTAGCCGAGCCGGTACTTTGATTGACAGTCACGTCTGAGGCTTCTTCGTTGGTCGTAGTCGAACTTGAGCTGGCAGTTGGCACCACAGCCGGGCTAGTAATTGGTGGCAATGTCTCGTCTGAGGTTGAAGGCTCTGACGGTGAAGATGAGACTACAACTGGGGGATCCGTAGTCGGAGGATCAGTGGGAACGTCAGGAGGTTGCGGCCGTAGGCCCGATAATAACAAACCCAGCAGACCACCGGAGTTGGAACTGTCTTGAAGATGCAGCAACGGGTCCAATAGATGGCCCAATCCCAAGTCAGTAGGAAAGGGCTGCTCTGCCGAGCGACCCTCGCGTTCCAAACTCGTTGGATAGAACTATTTGAGGGTGAGTGACAGCCACGGACGGGATCTCCATGAACTTACTCCGTGTGTCTCGGGTGCAAGCAATCTAGCCTCCTGCGTCGTGGGAGGATATTGGGTCCTGAACTCAAAGGTCCTCGTCGGCTCGACCGACCTAGGAAGGGAATGCACTGTCTCTGCCGCCAAAAGCCAGGTCAGCATGACTGTAGAGCGCCACATGGTTGCCGCCGCCATCCTCCTGGCGTGCCCGTGGTGACAGATATCGAAGGACCAGTTGCCTCAAGACCTCAAAGAAGCGCAAGACAATGATACAAGAAATTACATATACTGATTAAGTGTTGCAAAACAAGAATGAATAGGACCCTTTGTCCCAGGTGAACCAGGCCGCTGAGCACCGCTTCAGAGCCTCAAAAAGAGCGAATGTAGAGAAAGAAGAATGACAGTTCAAAAGAGTCGTTGGAGTGAAGGAGCTGTGATAGGGAATATCACTCGCAATGAGAGGAACGACAGTGATCAAAATGAGTGTATTCAACCTGATTTGTGGCACATAGCGTATACTTCCAGTACACTTCCTCTTGGGATAGGCCAGACAACTCCAGGTGCGAGTCGCGAGAGAAAACAAAATGAAGGACGAGGCCCAGTAGGCCCAGATAAAGGAAAACATTGCTCACAGATATCAAAATTTCAAATTCCAGCCACGACTAGCGAGAATCTCACCAGGCCAAAGCAGGCTGTTCCCCTGGGCGTGAACGGATACTTTGTCTACAGGACGGACAGCGGAAAATGACGCGGATGTAGATCTAAACAGATTGTCAGTCAATTCATTGGACCGAATTGGACTCAATGTGCGATTAGCAGCATGCGTGGTGGACTCAAAAGGGCAAAACAATGCAGGGACGAGGGCACAGGAATGCTCTATCAGGTAGATCCATACCAAGCAATCCTGACAGACGGTTGCCAGAGAGGTATCTAGCCGCAAATCGTTCTCCGCACACTGGTATGAGAGATGGGTGACTTACAGGATGCAAATATTTCAATCGGATGATGTGGTCGATGAGAATGAGTACAAGATGACTGACGATGAGAGATGTGATTGTAGCTATCGAATCCATTCTGGCAGGAAGGATGTGGAGCATGGCAGGCAGCTAAATAGTCAATTCTTGCGGGCAGATCCATACCCCAAACTAAGCCACACGTGAGGAGACTCGTACGGACTGGAAATAAGAGGATTCGAGATTCGTAATCATGGTCAATTCTGTCAAAGATTTCGCCAGGTCGAAGACAGATGCATAGTTGGATCAAAGGTTATCCGCACATTCCACCCTGTTAATCAGTCGGCGCTCGGACAACCTCATGGCTAATGGTGTAGTCGGTCAAGCCAAATACGTACGCTCATAAACTGGAGTCAGATTCTCGATAATCTCAAAGGCCACTTGGCCGCTTCTTCCTGGGATCCCATCACCAGAGGATCAAAGAAAAGGATACATCAGAGGTTGAGGTTGCAATTCCTGGGAAAGTGAGCCCGTGCTGCTGACTGGCTTGTGCTACAGCAACCCCGACATGCGCTCGCTCACCCGACCTGATCATTTACGTACCTCTACTCCTTTGCTTGCGCGTGCAAAAATCTATCATGCAGATTGATTATTGATGTACTAGTTTGCAGAAAGCACATATGATGGTGGGTAAATTCATAGTTAATTCCAATACGCTCCAGAAACGCCGTTCATTACCCCATTTTTTGACAACACGTTGTTGGTATTGTGACACTCTCTAGCATGATAGCACCCAATGCAGGAGTAGATGGAGTATCACAACCATGAAACACAGATCTAGATATGGTCAAATAAGTAGTGCCTTAGATCATGGGCTTCTCCATTGGCTTGATGATGCCCTGTTTGATCATCACGCGAGGCTTGGTTGCGTTCTGCAATGTCTCCTTGGTAGACCATTCGGGGCCGATGGGGAGACGCAAAGATCTTTCGTACTGTGCCTTGGTTTCGAAAGGATGAGGAAGCTGAGTTGCCATATACTTGGTGTTCTGGAAGAGATCAGTATTCAATCACTCGTACATCTGCGGAAATAGGAATCGCTTACCTTCCTGATGCGTTTCTCGTTGATGATGACCCGAGAAAGCTTTGCATCCTTTCGGTTCTCAGGCTTGACACCTTCAACCTTGGTCAGGACTTTCTTCTGTCGCCTTTGCTCCCTCTTGCTGACTCCATCACCGGTCCAGCTGCCCCATCCAGGAAGTGTCTCATCGATGACCTTGTCACCCTCCTCTTCGATGGTATCGAGTTTGTCCTGCTCGAACTCTTGTACCACCTCATCCCCGGCGAACGCTCTCTTCACAAGATCATGATTCTTGAGTAGGACTGGCACACTTTCCTCGTCATCGCTGCCATCGTCGCCCTCGACTTGGTGTTTCTTAGAGCTGATAGTCGACTGATCCTTCTTTTTCCTAGGAGCCTCGACAGTCTCAGCGCCAAGAGTGACATCGATAGTCTGCTGCGAATCATCCGCTGTTGTGCGACGATTGTTTCGTTTTGTCTGCACCAGCCAAGGGTTCTCCTCTTCTGCAGCAGTCTCCTTTTGCTCAGGTGCGCCGTCAGATGGCCGCGCAGCTTGTTTTTTCTCCAAGCGCTCAGATGATTTCCGTTTGTCAGACTGATTGATGACAATGTCGACCTCTTGATCAACCGCGGCGTCGGCCTCATCCTCGGAACCTGGTGCCTCTTCAAACTCATTCTTGGGCAACGACTTTGCTTTCTTGTCCTTGCCGGATTTGTCCCCCTGAGATTGACCGAATTTACGGCGACCAACCTCAGACTCTGCTTCAGACTGCGACTCTTCTTCGCCGCGGAGTTCTCGGTTGAGTCGTCGAATTTCAGCATCATTTTGTGCTTTGCGTGCGGCATCTGCGTTCTGCATGAATTTCATGGAGAAAAGTTTAGCATGTGGACCAGTCATTCCCGAGGCATCCGCTTCACCCCCCTCAAGCCTCTCAAGTTTCTCGCGTAGCTTGCGCTTCTCAGCATCAGAGCCTGCATCTTCTGCCCAAGGATCTTCGTCATCCGACTCTGAACTGGAGGAACCCAGGTAATCCCCATCCGCTCGAGAAACACTCTTCCCTTCAATTCGCCTCCGCAGCTCTTCTTCCTTCAGGGCCTGTTCTGCTGCACCGCGTCGAGCGTCCTCGTCCCAAGCGGTACGGCCAGTCTGCTTGAGGCTCTTTGCCCACTTGCTATCCTTGTGTTTGGCGCCCATTCTGGCCTCAGCTCGTCGGCGCTCATTCATCTCTCGATCTTCCTCCTCCAAGTCCACGCCAGCTTCCAGAAGCGCCTGTCTTTCCTGTTCCTCTAGACGCTCACGCTCCTTGCGGTGCACGCGGCGATACGACTTGCTTTTGATCTTCTTGATGCGCTTGGCCCGTACTTCTTCCCGGAACAGCAAATCACGTTGCTTGCGCAACTCTGCTCTACGGGCTCTAATTTCCTCGATGGGCAACTTTCGTGCCTGCAGCTCCTCAAATTCCTGAACCTGCTCCTCAGTCGATTTGCCGCTCGCATCCGCAAGACCACTTTCAACTAGGATATTTTGAATTGTAGCTTCAAGGTCCGTCTGCGGCTTCGCAGGGCCGATTCTGTGTGTTTGCTGGGCATCGGGATCAGGTAGAGGGAACATCAGATGTTCCGCTCGTCTGTTAGCCTTGACGGTCTCAAGCCAGCGGTCCAATGTCTCTTTGCTCTTCTCGTATGCTGCTGCTCGGTCCAGCCGGTCCTGTTGACGTTTCGCCAGGGGCGCGTCCAGTTTACCAGGAATGCCAGATGACTGTTTGTGAGAAGAGGGGGCGGAGTCAACATGCTTTAAGGAGCTCTTTAGGCGGGAATCTGTGATGGAGGGCAAGAGGTCGGCGACAGTAAGCTTTCGTGACGATGTCAGTCCATACTCCGTAGGCTTTGCGTGTTCTTGTCCACCTCCTGTTTTCCGAGTTGGCTTATTCGTAGATTCTGTCTCCAAGGCATTGACGAAGCTCTGTAGTTTTGAAAGACCATGCTCATCTGCTTCGTCGGCCTCGTCATCTGACATTGATAGCCCGCTTTCCTCGTCGGATTCATCGTCACTGTCTTCGCTGCCCGAGTCATATTCCTCCGACTCATCGGGTTCTGCCTGCTTCTTTTTAGATGCTGCGGCTTCTGCCTTCTCCTCCTCAGCTGTATTTAGATCCCAGGCAGTAGTAAGATCGATGGCGTCCTCTCCAAGGTCGTCATCGTCATCGTCCAGATCTTCGTCTTCCTCCTCTGATTCCTCGATATCCTCATCCAAATTAATTTCGCGCACGCGCTTGGGTTTCTTCGCCTTCGGCTTCGACATGGCATTGGTTGTTGAGCTTCCGCGAAATGTGAAGCCCTCAAAGCGTTCTTCGTCGCTTGAGCCCAAGGCCTCGTCACTGTCCAACTCTTCGTCGTCATCGCTGTCGACCTGACCCAATCTCCACCTGTGCCCTTCACCGTCACTGCCAGCGTTACTGCTCAGTTCTGACTCATCATCGTTCCCGAATCGACGACGCTTGTTATCGGGGCCATCCGAGTCGTCCATATCACGGTTGGTGTTCCATTTGCGCTTGGAGGGGTCATGAATCTTGCCTAAGCGGTTGCGCCTTACTCCTAGTTTATCGGTGATCTGGCTCTCTGCGATCGAGAGCGCATTCAGTGCTTTTCCGGTTTTCTTTTTTGGTGCCGACTTTTTGGGAGACTGGTCCTTCGGACCCCGCAACTGAGTTTGTCTGCGAGGCATGGTGTAATCTTGACGGTAGAAAAACTGGGAACACGATCCTCAAGAACAAAATCAATAGATAGATATGAGAGCCTGAAATGTGGCTACTCAGTCTCAAGAACGAGTGCGGAGCGCAGCACTGGTCAACTCCCATAAAAATAATTTTTAAACTAAGATCTTGCGGGCAGCGGAAAAAAAGTTCTCGGCGTGGCGGAGCTAAGTAGCGCCGCCCGACTTGCACGACCTTTTCTCGACACCGACTGGGTGACGGTCACATCCTCGACCGCAGCATTTATCGCACAACCGGAGCGTCGCATTCCTCACAATGGCAATGTTCAAGCCTTCGCAACCGATGATGGCGCGATTGCGCCTGACCACCAAGCAGGTCAATGGCGGTTACTACAAGGGAAACCGGACCGGATCGATGGGTTACTTTGCGAAGAATGGCTCTTATGTGATTG